TTCTCTCCTAAGATTTCTTATTCTTGCAGCTATTGAATACAGAAAGCACAAATATACGTAAGATTAACCAAAATTACGACTCTACAATGTGGCAAATTCCACCATCAATGTAATCGTTTATGTTTTGTATAGAGGGCGATTTTTTTAAATCTTTCCCATCCCTTTCGAACTACAAGATAAATGATTGGTGCATGGTGCATCCAACCAAAAAAGGTCTTTCATATTTTGCAATATTGTGTCGTGTAAAGTGAATTCATAAGACACCTGTTAGACAAAAAAAAAAAGAAAAGGCCAATGACAATCACGTTCCATTTTCAAACTGTTTTTTTTTAATTATATTTACAAAAGAGGGTTTAATCGAAAAGCAATGATTCCAACCCTTTTTTGAACCCGAATACAAACCGTTGAAAACAGTTTTTTTTAATACCTGCGTTATTTATATTCAAAATAAAAATTATTTATGTATGTATTTCTGTCAAGTGAGGTTATATTGTAAACGTATTATTGATATGTGGAACCGGTTTGCAAAGTACGTTATTATTAATCGAATGAGCGATCATTCAGTCACATGACTAAAACTGTCGTCTAGATATTGTGGGTCAACGAAACGCAAGGTCGCCTCCACATAGGGTCGGTCGGTCATTATGACCAACAACTCAATATTATTCATTTATCTGCAAAGGTTCTTTTAGTAAATCATATTTTCTGTTTAAGTGAAATAAGTATTTCATTCTTTTGTAGATTCTTAGACGTTTATTCAATGATTTATTATCTTAAAAAAAATATGATAGTTACTGTACACTTGGTATATATTTAATAGGTAGTAGTACCTATATTTAATAGGTAGTCTGTCTATTTCAATGTGTTACGATTTAATTTATAGGTTTTAATTAATATGTGCGAAATTAAATAAATAACATGTGTTACAAGTTACAATGATTATCCTTAACTGTTAAGCATTATTTGATGATAACATGAATTCAGTAGTATATGACATTTTTTGAATGAAAAAAAAAAATCCATAAAAGAAAGAAATCAGGAAATTCGAGAGAACGTTTTGACAATGTTATCAGTGACAACTTGTGAGATAAGAAATCGAATCTTTTGAATTATAAATAATAAACACTGTCTAGCAGCACCTAGATACTCTACCTACCTACTTGCAAAGAAAAGTGCCTTATATTGTGAGATTAAGTGGGCTTATAACATGTTTATAAAGTAAGTGCAATAAAACGTAGCATTTGAGTCATTTAACATAGGTAAAGGTAAGTAGGTATTTGAAATATTTTAATAATGAGTTATGTGCGATTAAAATTATAATATCTTTGATTTTTTTTTTGTTTTACTTTAATGTCCAATTCAAAATTTCAGGATTAAAATTGTTGTTTATGTTACTACCTTTATAAATGGCCAAATCAAAGTTTCTACATTTTTTCTAATCATTGTTATGACCTGGGAATACAGGATGTTGTTAATTTCCAAGACATAAAGCAATCATAGACTCGACGAAAACATTATTTTTGATTGAAGGAACCACAAATAAGCATTGTCAATTGTACAAATATAAACCAGACATCATAATCTAATTATCAAATTTTACGACATTACTGTGTCAAAGTAGGAATTTCCCAAGCAATGTTTCGTAGCGCACACGGCACAAGTATCCCGACTATCATTATTATCTCGCGCTCGTTATTATATCGCAGTTATAAATATAAAACCGCTACCTAAACGACTGTTAAGCTGTTTATGATCGATACACTACTACAGCCAGAGGAAATAAAGCATGATAGTCCAGTTCCGAAGCTAGGACATTGCAAATTAGCGGCAGTTGAGCGTCCGGGAGAAGGAGCGACGCGAACAGTGAGCGTGCAGCTGTCACAAATTCGCGCGTCCGGCGTATTTTTAGTCGGACAGAACTATTATTCTAGAGTAGCGGTTATAGTTACCTCGAATAGGGAACGGCTTCGTCATGATGGTCTCCGTAGTCGGCGGCAGCAGCCGCTGAGTCTCCGGCGACATCACACTCGGGCACAAATTCAACTCATGTTTCTTACTATCACTACTGTTATTCACGCCACCGCGAAGTCGCAGCGACGGCGACCCGTTTGTCACATCCATCTGTGTTCGCTATCGAAGCATGACTGAGAGACGGAATCGAGTCGGGCAGCGCGCGCTCGCCACAGCTGATTGTACCTACGGAACGAGTCGGGTGAGACAAGCGATATCGTGTTGTCTCTATGCCTTGCATGTGCTGCGGGGACGACATTCAAGTGCAAGGGCGATCAGGCGAACAGGGCGAGCGTCTTGTGTCTTGTGCCGTCACGCATCTCTCACGGAGAGATGGGCAGATTGCCATTCATCCAACGTAAACACTTCCGACCGACAGCGACGCTTCATACCGTGTCCCTGATATTGGTGATAGGTGCAATGAAGACATCACTCAAACTAATGAAATTGAAGACTGGTTCAAATAATCTCAAAAATTTTGAGAATAAAATAAATGACTAAACATTAATTAAAGTATCGTCTTTCTATCTGTAAATGAGTTCATTGTATTTTTGATATTTAATGAGATTTGTCACAAATAACAATACTAAATGACAGTTCATATTTTAGGACAACCTGTATATTCGCTTTTCACGAAAGGCTTCAAAAACTTTTAGTCAATTCAATAGTTACCTGAATACCGTTTATACTTCTGCTCACTCATTTATTTAATTTCATATTTTTATATAACAATAATAACTAGTTTTATAAATAAAAAAAAATCTAATAATTTTATCTCAGCGTTATTTTGATTACGATTACGCAGAAAATAATCAAATTTTAAGGGAAGATAATGTATTTAGGAAAATTCTGAGATATAAACATAAAAACATAAAAGCGGGAATCCCAACCAACGTACAGAAACTGGTAAATAGACAAAAGAATATTGTGTTATCGTCGTAAGTACTTAGTAGTTTTGACGGCCCTTAGTAGATAATAGATATAAGCTGAAACTGAATTTAAAAGACACCAAAAATATTTTCTTTAAATTCAATCACACAGGGAGTTGTCAGTTTTATTGTTATTTTTCTTCGTTTTTGATTAAGTTAGCTACTTAACACTAGTTGACTCACCAGATATCACCAGTTGTAAACAGATACGATTGGTTATAATGAATTGTAGTAACCTATCATTGTCTGAGCCATTATCAAATCGGTCAATAAATGTAAACATGTCCTTGTATTGTTCTAACCACAATCATTGGATTTCGAAATGTTGTACATAAATATTTGTTTTGTATATAGTTTCATGCTTTAAGTACCTAACTATTGTGTTTAATACATACAATAAATAACACTTATTTAGTTGTAACTTCGCTATGTTGTCGGATTATAAACATGAATTAGTTTTAGGTAATATTTAAATTATTTACAAGCCAGTGTGGGAGAGTCCCGCCCTGAGGACACGGTGGAACACACCGTAGCGGAATGCCCTGCGTGGGCTGAGCACCGCCGTGCCCTCAGGGAAGTGATCGGCGATGGCGACCTCTCGCGTCCGGGCCTAGTGCAGGCCATGATGCGGAGCGAGGGGGACTGGGATGCCGTCTCCTCCTTTTGCGAAGCAGTCATGCTAGCTAAGGAGGAGGCGGGACGCGTGAGGCAGCGAAGCGCTGCCTCCTCGCGACCCAGCCATCGCGAAGGACACACCGGGCGTCGGGGATCGCGGGACGATCTCCGGCCACCGTAAGCGCGGGCCTGCGGACGGCGAGCATGGGTGGCTCCCCGTCCGACCAGAAACAGACCCGAGCGTACGGCGCGTCGCGTTCCGCGCGCGCCTCAAAGAGCCATCAGACCACCACAGATGGGGCCCAATAGGGCCGATGCCGATTCGGAGTCGCGGAGAACCTAACGGGTAACCGGGGCTCCGGCTCGACGTGCAGGAGAAGGAACGGGGTGGTTTTTAGTCAGTAAGAGTCTGACACTCCCTTCCGCCTCACCCAGGCGGGAGCAGTCATTCGATGATTTTCCCCCCTTAAAAAAAAAAAAAAAAAAGTGTGGGAGAGTCATGCTTCGGCACGAATGGGCCGGCTCGACCGGAGTGATACTACGGCCTCACAGAAAACCGACGTGAATCAACGCTTGCGTTGTGTTTCGTCGTGTGAGTGAGGTTTCCGGAGGCCCAATTACCCTCCCCTCCCCCAATCTCTCCAATTCCTGAATCCCCAACGATCCTCAAACTCCTAATCCACAAAAGGCTAGCAACGCACTTGTAATGCCTCTGGTGTTCCAGGTGTCCATGGGCGACGCCGATTGCTTACCATCAGGTGATCCGTCTGCTCGTTTACCGGCTTATGCCATAAAAAAAAAGTGTGAGGCGTAACCGCATAGAACTGTAGCAAAACTTGAACCAGCAATATTTTTAGCGATCTGCGCTTCCTAAATCGTCAGACGTTTCTGCAGGTTTAGATACGTTAATGACCACTTAAAGATTTCGTGTATACAGAAATGATCACAAACAAGATATTAAACTTCAGTCACAAGAGCCACAGGCAATCAATTAGACACCATTAACTAGCTGGCGGTCAATTTACCATCATCTTACATAACTGTTCCGGACACGAAGACAATGGAGTTCATGTAACGCGATGCATTATCTACTAAGTTACCAGAGTATACAACTATATTGTGAGTTGTACAGTTTCAGATCGGAGTAGAGTTAGAGCTGGTAAATTGTTAGGAGGCTTTTTCAAAGGTAAGTCTTAAACAAAGAGGGAACATTAAATTGGAGTCCATTTGCTGGAACTTATTTAAAGTTAAACAACATTCCGAAACTAAAGAAATTGTTACAAACAGACTTCTAAACGGTTCTTGCCGAAATCTAGCGGAATACTTAAAAAGTGATATAATCGTCCACCTATACTTAGTAGACACTTATGTAAGAAATTCGTCAAAAAGACAAGGAATACAACCAAGTAAAAATTCGCAGATCTGTCCAACCGCACGTACGTCTCCATGTCGCCGAATTTTTGCAGACGTGAGTATGTGGTGATACTTCCGTCAGTTGCATGGCAACCATCACGTAGTATCGACCTAACTTGAGCTTCGCAAGGCTTTGTAACCGGGTCATACCTTGTATACGTGAGTTGCGACGCGTTGTTAACTCAACCAAATGTATCGCTACCGCTATAGATATCGCTATCCCAGATACTGGCGTGAGTAACTAACTTAATAACATAGAAGATCATCCAAAAATCATTAGAGTCACCTTTACCTTCATACGCCATCAAAATGAATATGTTTCAAACACTATTGAACTCTATACCCAAAAATCGTTCAGATTACGTGGAGGATTTGGACATTCCTGACATAACGCTGACTCCGTACGTGTGTCCTGATCCTTATGACTCCCTGTCCCCAAGGAGTGACAGTATCCTCACGGACAGCATCAGAGCGTTTGACAGACGTACTTTAAGCACAGCTTCCAGTATCCCGCTGTCGAGAGCTATGACGGACTCTGAAATTGATTACGGATTTTATAAAAGGGTTAGTAAGAGTTTTTTGCAATACTTAATCGAAGTTTTCTGGAACCATAAACACCTCAACATTAAAAAATGTCATAAGTGAAAGTACCTACTTCGTACTTTTTTGGGAAGTCTAAAAGTATCTAGATTTCTACATATTAACCTAAACCATTAATATTTGCCCTTGAACCATCATTGATTCGTAGAATAAACGGTATATTATTATGATGCGTATAATGCATAATATCAATCAATTAATCGTCATGTTAATTTCACGTAACACCAATTTTGTTTTGCTTGCGTGCCAGCCATCAGAAAAGTAGATTCTCAAATATTATGAAATATTGTTTTTACCTAATATGTACAGATATTTTTAGTTACCTAATATTGGGTGTCTGTAGTACAGAGACTACCACTACGCAGACACCTGGGAGCACCTGCGTCGTGCTGTGGACGCCTTTCCGCCATATTACCTGTCTTCTTTAAACAGGTATGGAATAATCAAAGCCAATCAAAGGCGATGCCTTGGTTCACTGTAGTAAGGCTATTAGGCTCCAACCGTTTCAGCGAGATGCATGGAGTTCAGTGTTAATAGATCTTATTAAGGCCTCTGGACGCATTGTAATCTTACATCTCTTGTTCCCATAAGTCCTTGAGAGAATATTTACTTCTTAATTTCCAATTAATCATGTAACGAATTGGCCATTCTTATAACGGATGCTTCACTATGCCTACAGTAGTTTATTCTGGTACCTATACTAGATCAAACTAGTTACAACACTATCGTTTGTATCATTGACTGTTTCTTAATGTTTGCAGTTTCATCTCACTGGACTCTGATGAGGATTTACTCCTGAACAATGAATTGGCGTACGCTACAGAGCTGGCGGAGAGCCGGCGGCTGTACAACGAGGCGTGGTGGCGTCGCATGAAGACACAGTTTGACGACTGCTACCCGTTCGCGCCCGACGACCCCGGCCTGTACGAGCTGCAGGAAGCTGTACATCGCCTAGATATGAAGGTCTTGGACTTAAAAGTTTGTGTTCGTTTTCGTTACAGTAGATTTTGACCACAGCTTCGTACGTAGGTACCCACATGCTTATTGTTCTTCGTCATTGTTTTACGAAATCTATTTCCTAGGCTGACTGACTACACTTCAGTTTTCAACCTAGGTAGGTTCTTTATAATGAACTTTGCAATGAAGATATTGCAGCTCTCTACGACGAGAAGTAGATACCTATACGTTTTCACAGCTGTCGATGTCTAACTAATCAGTGTTGACATTTGTTTTAAAATCATGTCTACTCATCAAGAACTGTGAGTACAAAGTAAATTTAACTTATCGACTCACTATAGCTAGTTAGTTTTTGAATAGATAAGTAAAATTCGGCACGAATGGGTCGGCTCGACCGGGGTGATACCACGGCCTCACAGAAAACCGACGTGACCGTGAACCGTTGTGTTTCGTCGTGTGAGTGAGGTTACTGGAGGCTCAATCAATAACCCGCCTCTCCAGTCTCCCCAATCCCCGAATCCTCCCCGATCCTCAAATTCCCAATTCCCAAAACGTCGGTAACGCACTTGTAACGCCTTGGTGTTTCAGGTGTCCATGGGCGGCGAGGATTGCTTACCATCAGGTGATCCGTCTGCTTGTTTACCGGCTTATGCCATAAAAAATATTATAGTCTTCCTACTTGTGGTCATGCTTGTTTTTGTCAGCAGGCCCTGGAAGCGGACCTGGCCAGGATTAAGCGTCGTCCATGAAGACGGAAATTGCACCTGATGTTATCGAACCTGTAGTTCATCAAATTGTTAACTAATTTTATTGACAATGCACATTTTATTCTAATTTGCACCAAACTAATTAATTAACTAATTTGTTTTAAATTAGTATTTTCATTTAATACTTACCCGTAATAAGTATGGTAGAATGTTGACATGTAATTAGGTAAGCATAGGTGTGTAGGTACTCAAAGTACCGTCATTATAGACACAATTAAAGAACAATAGGTTGCAGTCACCGGTGTCCTCGTGTTTGACAGTTTAAAGTTAGCATATACCTAGTTACGTAATTAGGGTTTTAAAATCACATTAAATCAACAAACATACGGGTGTGGGTAAAGATGAACCACATAAAAAAAATAGTTGTATTTTCATTATAGAGAGCGAGACGATAGGTTACACTGAGCACAAATTGTAACCTGATATTCTGTACCTAATGGATTTATTTGAATTGAACCAGACAACACTACTGCTTTCTTGGTAATCGCATTAAACACAATTTCAGTATTTTACTAATGATAATAATGTTTGTAGAATTAAAATTGTGTAGGCAGTCCTTAACACTAAAGGTTTATTTATGTACTAACAATTTCAGAGTAAATAAAACGAGTATATTTGTGTAAAATGTAGTTTTAATGGGAATGGCCTCCAACATTAGCTACAACAATGTACTTATCATTATGTTCTACGACGGGCATCACATTTCGCATGAACTCAACGCAAACAATTATTAAATAATACTTTTTTCATAACAGTTAAATAGTTGACTTTGTATTTATATATAACGTAACATTGTGCCTTCTATTTTTTGAAAGAGAAGGCACAGATTTACAAGGAGAAAAACCTACTAGTTCCCTAATAGTTAAACATCGTCAGGAAATTGTTTAATTAGTTCGTTTCACCAATAGTATGCCAGAACAACAGTCCAACAGATATTTGACGTTCTATGGTCTCTGCCTACCTTCATGGCAGACAGACGTGACGATAATTTAGCATGTATGTATTTCTAATATACAGGTCATGAAAATATCATTTAACATTTAGTGGGATCTCTCAAAGGAAATATCGCGGTATAGTTACAATGAAACGTACACTGTATAACAGTTATCTGATGAGTCTCCTAATGGGGTGAGGCTGAGATAAGGTTACATGTAGGAGACCCATGCTTCGGCACGAATGGGCCGGCTCGACCTGTGTGATACCACCGCCGAGCAGTAACACCGTCACCGGAGACCCAATTATCCCCCCCCCCCCAATCGCCTCAATCCCTGTACTCCAAGCAATCGTCAAATTCCTAGTCCCCTAAGCCGGTGTCCTTGGGTGGCGCCAATTGCTGACCATCAGGTAATCGTTCTGCTAGTTTATCGGCTTATCCCATAAAAAGGCTATTACTGTATACAAGCCAATGCCAGATTTGTTTAATTTCATTATTTTTTTTATGATTTAAAATGATTTGTTTTAATCCAACAAATATATTTTTTTTTTACGGCATAAGCCGTCAAACGTGCACACGGATCACCTGATGGTAAGCGATTGGCGTCGCACGTGGACACCTGGAACACCACCTGGTTACAAGTGCGTTACCGGCCTTTTGGGGATTAGGAGTTTGAGGATTTTAGGGGATTCATGGATTGGGGAAGGGGAGGGGGTAATTGGGCCTCCGTAATATATTTTTTTTATATATTTGATGGGCCGACGTTTGACCATTATTCCAAATCAAAATGCCAAAGTCAACTATTTCTCCGTTCACTCACAATCATAAAATATAATAGAAAAACAATAATCAGTACATAATATAACAAAATGTATTGCACTTACATTTTTTGGATTACAATGAGATTCACTGAGATTCGTGTATTAATATGATATTTTCTAAGTAGTCAACAAATCATTTGTTTCACAAATAATATTAAAAAAACAATATCAATATTTTAATTTCATGAGATTTGTTGTAAGCAAAGCTCAAATACAAACGTTATAAAACAAATTTGTTGTTTACAGTCCAATCAAATTAATGTCTAAAGTTTGTCATTTTTAAATGTAGAAGTCAGCTTAACAAGATATTTGAAATTGTCTTGAATCGATATTCAATTTGCCGTTGTAATAATGTACAAAATCCCACGAATTAATTTGACAGTTTTCAGTAACTGGTCCTGTTGGTGACATTAGAACAGAAAATAGAAACAATATTTTCAGTAACATATATCAAAATGATAAAAAATTATTTACTCAAACAGTTTAGTACAAAAAATGTGTGATAATTATAATATAATTTTACTGCAAGCAACACTGTAGCTTTATTATAATTATGAATACTGTTGATAATATAATAAACAATATAACGTGTGACTTACATAAGATGAATGTTTGAAATTAATTATTTGATTAATTATCTTTGTGTGCAAATCTATGGATAATCACATTACAATAAACAGAATAACTAGACTTATTATAGGAATGCGCATAGACAAACAATATTTGGTAACACATTGCCACAATTAATAAATACAAGAAGAATTAAAAAATGTCTTTGGAAAAAATGGAAACAAAAATAATCCTTCATTCAAAAAAATAACCTCTGATATATAAACATATATATATAAAATAACTTATAAAAATGTAGAACATTAACAAAAGATAACCTTTTACAGATAAAATAAAATAAAATGTAAAAATATCCAGCTTATATTCATTTATTATGACACGATCACTTATGATTAAATATTTAGCGAAAAACTAAACGATTCGCTGCCCTCACCGTCTGGACGTGCTTAATTTTATAAAAGGCAATCTTAACCTAAGGTAATTATTACTTTAATATAAAGTAAATCGAGATATATACGCCGATAGTCGAGTATATGTTAAGCTAAGGACATAGACAAACTGTTTTTAGACATAGTCTATGCATATAGTATATACATATATATTTATAATTTCAGAAGTATATATACACTTCACAAATAGAATTAAAAAAAATTGTGCTAAAGTTTTTATTTTCACTAGATCAGTGATGAAGTCTGCTTAGGCCCTAACACTAGCATATAACTGGTAAAGCGTTCACTGTCGAAGGAGATTGTAATTAAATAGGTTTCTACTGGACTTTATACTACACAAGCGCCTCTAGAGACGCAAAAACTCATTTCATACAGAAAATATTCAATTTTATATTTGTATCTATCCTTAGCTTAACAAACACTTGTCATATAAATTCGAAGATTCATATAATTATTCATACGAATCCGCAATAAGCACTATATCACTATAATAACATATATTACGTCTTTTGTACGAGAATTAAATCTACAAGTGCACAGAACTGAACAGACAGAATAACATGAAATCCACATATATAGATCAGACATTTATTTTTTACTACTCATGCATTGCTTTGTTGTGACCAATAACCATTTGCGATCGATTTTAGGAACCTGCCATTCGATCGAGAATGGACGAGCAAAACAGAATTTGTACAAACGAAAATGTGTATAACTAAAGTAGGCACAATGCAAAATGGCATGCAAGAAAACATCGCAGGCTTTAAACAAGATGCAGTATCAACACATGCTTTTGGCAGTGGCTCGTGGCTCTTCGATTCATTAATTTAGAAATAATTTCCAGCCATTTACTCACAAACCCAAATAAACCAGCTTTAGAAAAACCTATCCGTATAAAAACGACGAAACCACGACTTTTTAAAAAATGAAAAATCAGAAGCGCAACATTCAACATACCTACATACAAGACACCGCACACACTATTAGACAATTGCATCAACAGACAGACCGCAAGCCGTCGTCACAACCATTTACACACATTATCTTTCATCCTAAGATCACATTTCATCAGCACATTTACTTTATTTTTCAACTTAAATGCGTGTTGATGCAATTGCCTGTATTTTCAAGTTACCTTTTCCCGTAGGTTGGCAGTCTTCAATCCGTCGTTCGCGCCCTCTACGCTAGCGGTCAACATCTAGTCTAGGACAACACTTAGTCTAACAACCATTATAACTAGACTACACGCATTCATTAGGCGAGGTCGTCTGTCACCGATGACTTGAGTTGATGGTAACATTTTATATAAAGTCAATAAAAACAAATAAGAATAAAACGGAGGATTTCTTTATTGAAGAACTCAGTTATATAACAAACATAGTAAAGTACAAATGATTAAGCGATAGAAACCATTGAAAAGAAAACAACATAAAATAATTATTTAGTTTTGATCTAGCCTAATAGAATTAAATGTTTACCATCAACCCAAAAACGACAATTGACAAACAGCCGGTTTCATTATAAATTACAAGATATTGCTACAAGCCGTACTATGTAGCAACACGATCAACTCGTTAGAAAGTCATTCTCCTGGCGAATACATTGAGATTTCAAAGAGAAGAAGAAAACACATTTAGATTTTAACGAGAGCTACGCATTACGAGACGAGGGAGATAATAGTCGCAAGATTTTGCAGGAGGTTTAAAGTTAAAATTGCGATTAGTCTGTAATGTGCGCCCTCTATTATACGCGGACGGTTCATAGGTTCTAGGATTGCCACTATCGACGATAAATATTAATTTCTTATAGTTTGCGGTTAGTCCTCACAAGTTCACAACACAAGGCTATGTTGTAAATAATTGAATACAGTATTTGTTACAAAAATATCAACCATTTGTTAATAAATATAATTTGAAAGGAAGAGCATGGAGTAGTGTGCGTACTTGCGAAAGACGAACTTGTGCTTGTATTACACCCGGCGAAATGGATCTCTTTATAGCATATAGTAGTTAAATATGTTTAAATTGTTTGACAATTTTTCATGAAACTTCAACACAGTAAAATATAGCTCATAATTACATATAAGTTAAACTGTTATACAAGCACAATCTCGTTTAGATGCAAGGCGTGAAGGCGTGCAGACAGGAACGCAATACGACACAACAGACAGACAGACAGTCACATAATTGACATAGATAGCACATTGATACGTATGACGGACACAATCGTCTGTTGGAACCCCGTACGTATGTAAGAATGCCCCAATAAAACAGTATTTGTAAAAAGTTGGAGTTTTCAAAATTTGCAATCACGAGATGGCGCTAGTGAGCTTTATGAGCTTAGTTGTCATTAGTTCAAATTATTAACATAACCCACATAGAGTTAGGTTAACCTGTTATTATACTTAAATGAGTAAAAACTTTAGCGTACTTGGTTTTATTCATTATTGTAAACTTTGTATTTCCATAATAAGAATTGTCTGAAAAATACTGAAAATCAAACATTTTGCTACTATTTTTAAAAGGCACCTGAAAACGTAACATCATACAATATGTACGGAGTTCCAAACATTTATAAACTAGATCTTCTGAAGCAACCACAACGTCGTAGGAATACCCGTTACAGCATGAAAAATAGGATTTGAATGGCCAATTTGGATTCTTTATTCCTGTAGAAAGCCTTGATGAAGTTTTATTTTTATTAATATTTTAAGGTAAGATACCTAACGATAAAAGACATTTTCTTTCAACCAAAACAAAATACATGCTTTTTTAGTTTCTTTCAATTCAACTAATCCATCGATAGCATTTTAGTTTTCAAATCCTATTCATCACACAATTGTTTCAATATAAACTTTTAATATTGGCAAATATATAATTATTTTATAGTAGAGTGCAAGAATAGACAAGAAAGGTAGTGAGAGCACAGAAAGGCAATGAGCTAAGAAGAAGGGAAACTTACTTACTTGCACGCTTAGGAACGAATACATACTACAATATATAATCTTTACATTATATTATATAATATCCCATTATAAAACAGTTACATAATAATAACTTAAGGTAACAACTATAGTCTTAAATTGATCTTGTAATATAAATAATGGCCAGATTTTCATTATTTAAGTGATGTTTTAAACGGTTTTAACTAAGCGTGCAAGCACAAAGATCGGAAGGAAGTTTAAAATTTGTTATTTTAATAAATATCTATGTATATCTCTGTACATCCTAAGGCTCCCCTGATATGTATACAGGCCGTATACAAAAATAAACAGCTTTACACTTACACAACAATGTTATAACATCAACTTTTAATTTATATCTGTCGTAACGTCACGAACATATCACGACAATTCTGTGAACCAGCCTTTGTAAGCATTATTGGGACTACTACCTATAGCTTTAATTTTATATTTTTATGAATGAACATTTCCACAGACTAAAAAATATTTTTAAAATTTTCGAGGTAGCTGTCAGAGTTGACAGCTGTCAGATGGTTAATAATGTTTGTAAGAATACTTGAAGTATACCGACGGTGCTTACAAAGCTGGCCAGTCTTTCGCATCATTGCCTTCAAGTGTCGCAGGACATAACACGGGTAATACAACCACTACCATATTGTCATTTATTAAAACTTTCAACAAAGCAGTGTACCTTAGCTACGCTACACTGGGCGCTCCCACAAGTAAGCTTATATTACGCCACTACATAAATACTAACTATATTATTCAATACCATTGCACCAGTCTCCGTACGATATATATATCAAAATATTTACACTTATCCCTTAGCTTACATTACAAAAAGAACTCAATTTACGGAAAACACAATAATCACAGCGTTCAAAATCACAAATAAATAGAAAATAAACCGACATTTCAATATTAAAATGTTAAGTGTCTTAAATACATGAGATCCTCGTTATAAAAATATCATCTAAAATATAGCAAAATATATATATAATTAAAAATATTCTATCACTATAGCTAGCAACATTAACAATATTGAACGTTAAGCAATATGTTTCCTAAAAAAGTTTTCAAACAGATTTTGGGGTTGCCAGAATGGAGACTATTTTATAGGAATGGTAACACGTAGCTAGTGCCGTACAAAATATTACTGCTTGGTCAGTTTGTAGGTAAAAGGATTGTTCCGGTATAGTAATTTCTTTTAACGTTTTAGTAAAACAATTTTCCATCACATTCTTCTGCGATTTCGAGAGCAAACCAGACTAAGCAACTACATGTTACCGCCCCTATAAGCTACAATTATAAAATAAAGCGTCCGTGTCAGACTTACGGCGAATACGTGTAAATGTATAAAAAGTAAATGCAAGCATCAGTTCTTAGAAACAAACGTGTACAATATCATAGCGAACACTACGTTATTCTTATTTGTATATGGCAACCACCACTACGGTTAAACACGAAACGCTTACAAAACTAGAAATGATCTCTCTCAGTGATTAGTTACAAGCATTTTATTTGCTTTAGTGGCAACACTGTTTCTCAAAAGTGTGACAAGCTTTTCGTACAATACAATATTTCACGAACATTTAAAACGAACAATCTAATGAAATAACTTTTCTCGTTGACAGCTGTCATTGGTGACGTTTGTCAGACGTAATTTAATAATTTTAATGAGCATTTTTATATTTATAATTGACATGCAGATTTACAAATATACATTAGCGCCTACAGACATTATACAGGGGAGATGTTTGTTCATCACTTTTGAGAAACTCGAGTGCCCTATTTAACCCGGCTACCCTATCGCTCCGATCGGCTAATTAAACGAAACATGCTTTGATATGTCCATCTTTACCCTAGCGTTTGTGAGCCGTTTTCAAATATCGTCAGATGAAAGTAATATTGGCGCTATACAATCCATTTTTGTATCCCTCACACGATTAACCAATTGCCACAAATGAAAGGCAAGGCATATTAATGTCATAAACTGATATTTAAAAACGTACTCCTCTCCATCCAAAATACACATTTTGGCACAGACTCCGTGATGGAAATAAAAGCGTTTCTAAGCGGTTCAATGAAATTGACGAACGAGCCAAAGCAATTAGTTTCCATCTTCTCAAAGGTTAAAGGAATATCTTTTTAAGTTTAACCTTTGACAATGGTGTATGCAGCAGCAAATACTTCAGGCCACTGAGCCCAATTCTTGGTTTGTTATAGTCCAAACATTAACGCTTTTATCAACCACCACAGTTCTGTCGTCTGTCGCCCACGATCATGACAATAGGCCGGAATCGGTGCGATAGAATATCCTAAGGTTAAGTATTGACGAGAATCAAACACGCCTCGGTTTCCCGGGGCCAGGACACTCCGTCGACTTGATGATGGAGGAGGCAAGGGGCTCCCGCGGCCTGATGGGGTCCATCTCCATGAAACCAGGGTTCAGGATTATGTTAGGCACTAGTTCCATTACGTCTTGATCTTCGACGTAGTCTTTGGGGTGAAGAGAGGAGCAGTCGGGACAGGAGAGGTGGAGGGTTGGTTAGTAATACATACCGTCACCGAGTGTGTGTGTGTTTTGTTAGTGTGCGGCCCCGCAGTCCAAGCGTGCGTTCCAAGCGAGTGCGATAGAGGGGAAAGAAGAAAAAAATCTCGAATGAATAAAAAATTGGCAGATACGGGCGTTCTTCGTTATTAAGAGATTATGCAAAAGTCATGCGGATAGATCGAAGAATGGAAACTCGCTCTCGGAATTCGTCTGTAATCAGCATAGACTTAAGAGCGATTTTCTAATGTCTACGTTATGACAGCAAAATTGAAGAGATTGTAGTACTCAACATATTTTGCTCCTACAGACGAATTTCACATTCAGAAGTCACTTCATATGGTAAAATGTTAAATTAAAAAAAAATACAATTGGTCAAAAACACGACATGAGCTGGTCATGGGAAATTAGCTCATATCGTCGGAAGAATATGAAATTCGTCCCTATATAATGCACTCGAGCGCTATGCCAAGCCACTCTTGAAAAACTTTCTAAAATTTCAAAATTCTAATTTCTATTGTTAGAAGCAAATCTTAAAGTCGGCATTAGAGCTCTAAAGTGGCAATTTATTTAAGTTTTACAAGTAATATTAGTAAAGGGGCACATTTGTATCACTTCAGCATAGATCACCAGACATTTTTTTTTGTAAGTTTATGATTCAACTCGGGCATAGGTACTCCTTGCTGTGTTTGATACAAATGACCCAATCATCTTATAAATAACGTATCACTGGTAGTTTTTGTATTCACTTTAGATAGAATTATATGCAATGAGAAATCTATTCTATTACCAAGTTTTCAAAAAAGCAAATATTATATTAATCAATAAAATTGGCCTCTACTCATAATATCAAGGAATTATGCCAAATGTAATAAGAACATAACAACTCATGTCATTCTTTTTCAATACCATAATATATCAAACGGTAAAGAAAATATTATCTTCTGAATAATAAAATAATTTTATGGAATTCATGTTATTCTGTCACTTAATTTATTTATTGTGCTAAATTTATCACTAGTATTGTGCATTTAATGCGAACATATCATTATTAATAATAATTTTATTGCATTATAAATGTATTATGAATCTATTTAAGCCCTACCTAAGCGAGCTACCGCGTTTATATTTGTGTATATAATTTATAATTGTACTTATAAGCAATAGATATAAAATAGTGTTCTTATAGAATACTAAAAGTGGTCCTATAGTAGAGTAATAGTGGTCCAGAAGTCATCACAAGATATCTAGTGCAAGTTTATTATATGTATTATTATATTTGTTGCGATTCGGTTAATATATTAATTATTTTTATTACCATAATAATTTAATAAAGGCAAGATTATATTATATTTTTAATATTTATTTATTCATTAAAGATGGAAAAGATGTGTGTTAAAAAAAGAAGAGAATATCCAATGTATACTAGAATATCACAAGAATATTATTGGTATTTTTGGAATATACTTTATCACACACATGTAATAATCACAAATAATATACTACGTGGATAAAAAAATGTTTTGGCAAGATTGATTTGTCTACTTAGCGGTAAAGCTTCATTACACCTACAACTATTCAATTCTCATACTAAAATATAATGTAGGTACTTACTTTAATTATTATATTTTCTGACTTAAATACCTAATACCGAACAGAAAAATAGCGAATCCTTTTTTATTATTTATTCTTTGAGAGCGCGAATTTAAATATTTATTTATAATTAAAATTATCACGAGGTAAATAAGTTTCAAATACTCAAATATCATTTATTATATTCATAAATTTAATTATTGCTATATATTTTAATGAGAAATGTAATATTTTAGCGGTATATATAAGTTTTTAATATCATATATAATTATTTTTATAAGTATTTCTATAGCTCATAAATTGTTGTGATGTAAACACAGCCGTATATAGACAATAGATTATAGAGAGAATCGCTGAAAGTCAATATATTGTTAGAAACTGTATGACAACTATATATAGCACAGATCTATTGTTATAATTGACGTCCTGTAGTTATCATTGGTCCGTATACTAATGTTCTTTGTGAGTCTGTCGGTATGTTGCATGCATTGAAGTATTAAATACGAAATTTAAAATTTGCAGCCATCTTTGTTAGGTATCATTAATAGTAACATGTTTCATCCGCGTTTGACTGATTGACCTTATTGTCACACGTAGAGTATAATTTGAACCCGAACTTATTAAAATTTATTTCTGCGATCTGTGGTTTGAACTCAAAACTTAGTGCTCGTTGACTTGATCAGAGAAAAAGAAACTTGTACTAAGGCCTCTGACTACAGAAGCAGTCTGTCAATCAATTTTAATTTGTAAGCTTTTAAATTCATTACAACAACATACCGACCGAGACTCCACTTATCCTACCTAATTTACCCTATCTAGCAAAACCTAAGCAATATACAGCACTAGGTAACTCTATAAAGCGAGATTCAATCAATTTTCTTTTTTGGTATAATAGTTATTATTATTAATAATAAAATTTATTATTATTTGCATAGCACCAATCGCGTAGCGTAGAAACTCTAGTGAACATTTCAAAAATTTATTTTTGTACCATTCGTTTTATTATTATTTTATAAAAATCTATACTACTTTTATTTAATTATATTTTTTGTAAGTTATAATTTGGAAGATTTTTTGTTTATTATTTATTTATTTATATATTAAAAACTTGGCACTATATATATTGAATGCATATAATCAATTGTTTGTAGTTACAAATTTTTTTATAATATAATTTTATAATTTGAGAATTTAAGCTGTGCGTAGATAATTGTAAATTGTGCTTAAAGTTTTAGAGTAATAGTGATTGGGTAAATTGTATTTTAATATAAATATTTCACTATAAGTTTAAAATAGAATATATATATAACGATAACAAAAACAAATTAATGTTCAACAAAAGGTCAACCTAAGTCTTGGACATTATATATAATAATTAAATAGTCACTGAGCATACTTCCACGTCCCGACGTCTGTCATTTCCCTACATCCTAAGGATCATCTTACCGAAGGATTAAATATATTTAACAAAGGTAATTATTGTTCATCATACTGATACGTTTCAAGCTTAAACCATAAAATCTATCACTAATAATTAACTTCTTCAATTATTGCTAAAGGCGTATATCGATCGAATGGAACGCTTGCGTCACGGTCAACTCGAACGATCATTGTGCAATATGCTCGCGAACGATTAGTTTATAAGGATGTTTCTTCGAAAAACTACATCAGAAATAGAAGTTATCATTATACTTAGCCCAAAAGTTAACAATTCTGACTTATAAAGCTTGATTCATGAAAACTTAATAAAATCATAAATGGGTGATTGGTTAAAAGATGTTCAAACTCCAACGGTCATTGATTTTTGCCGCAGAACCAGTGACCGTTGGAGTATATGTACGTGTTTTGAGTGTGACCAGCACTGGTAGGTACTTCAGATTTCTAAACTTTGGGCTACATTATGATCTTGGAGAATAACCATGTGGTTATTCTCCAACATACATTATAAACATTTCTATGTAGAAATGTTTTTTCGAAGAAACAACCATCCTTAACATTGATACCCTAATAATTTATTCAATGGAATGGGTTGAGTTTGAGCGCTAGTGTCGCTATGTCAGCGCCACAAGAAGTAGAGGCGCGGGAGATGCGTGCGCTAGGGCGCGGGCTCACCGTGTCGGCGCCACTCGCGGCAGAGCACGGCGCACGTGCCGGCCGCCAGCACCACTAGCGTGCCCATCACCACGCACACCGCCGCCACCCATGTCCGTGTGTCGAACTGCTCCGCGCCAGAGAAGAAGTGTTTGTATAGCTCTGTAATGTTGTTCGTATAATACGATTAGTATAAGATCATTCTTAAATAATCGCAATATGCTTTTGATATTAAACAAAATCTGCAATTTTAGTAACAACTGAATGACTATTTGCTTTAGTCCCAAGTGGGCGCCAATTATATTAATACATTTTAGATTAGTCCCACGTTGGGCGCCAATACTTTCAACTACAAACTAATCACCCACTTACCTCTGACTCACTATAATGTGATGTCCTCAACCGATGGGCGGCCTTTCAGAATATTGGTAGCCTATATTGAACCAGTATAGTGCCTTCGTATACAAATGGAGTGGAGTCCCACGTGGGCGCCACTTCAAGTAAGTATAAAGTGATTACTCACCAGCCTCCTGGTCGCTGTAGAGTGTGGTGGCCAGCACCTCCACCGGTGGACCGGGGCCCAAAGCATTAGTTGCCCATACTCTGAACCAATAAGACGCGTTGGTATCTAAGTGATACACGTCTACTTGGCGCTGAAATTGTGTATACAGAAAAAACTATGTTAATTTCTTGAGTAGTATTTAGTTAACGTTTGGAAACTAACTTGCCTAGCTGCCAGCTATTATGTAGCCGAATATTAGTTAAGAATAGTTATAGAAGATCACTAACCAATTTACAAGATCCTTTTCAAATTGAATAAATTGTACTTTACCGAATTCGGACTGATGTGGTTAGGGCTGATAGGCCTCCAGGGCTCTAGAGTCCCATTAACAGGTGCTGCCGATCGGTATTGTGCGGTGAAGTCTATGATAGGGTGGCCACCATCACCAGCTACATTCCAGAGTATCAGCGCCAGGATAGTGGACGCGTGGACTGTCACGTTCACTAGTGGTGGCGGCTCCGCTGTAGATAAACAGTAATTTTGGTGAGAATTGACAGAACCAATTAAAATAAAAGTGGATATAAAATATTAAAATCGGCAAGTTTAAAGGTCACTGTAAAATGTAGCTTTGAGTGTACTTATAAATTCAGTCTGGTTTTTGATTAATCGAAGCGTAAACACTATATAATTATGTAAAATTTTTTTACATCAAACTGTAGGTAAACCTAACAGTTTCAGCCAGTATTCAGTAATGAAAATGATGAAGTCTAAATTAGATACATGTACTAGTAGGTAGAGGAGTTGTAGGACTTACTAAACCACGTAATAGTTTAATGAAACCTGGAAGGCAAAGATGCTTCATCGTTGTTATTCGAATTATGTAAGTGGCGCTGTCGACATGATGAATCGCCTACTGAACACAAGTATACAACTATAAGCGCCTATGCATCAGCAAGTACCGTCATGTTATACCAACCGCAAGTCGACAACAGTACTAAATCAGTAGCCAGTACTTGCGTCACGGTTGACAGCACTATCAAGGACATGATAAAGTTTAATTTGTGGGAAAACCCGACTAAATTATTTACTAATGATGTCGGGTGAAATCTGGTGTATTTTATAGAGGTTATAATATACTAGGTAGTAAATTGTGTAATTTAACCAATTGTTAACCTCTTGTATGCAGGTATATAAGACACAATAGAAATCACATTGTGTCTCGCGTAGATCTGCGTCCCGGCCCGATACCACGGCTTAATTGTTTTATAATATTTGCACTGTTTACACCAAAACGATGTCTATCTGATTTAATTAAGTACACATGTGTATGTAGGCGATTGAAAAAACCTTCTTCCTGTTCTTTTATCCCAAATTACCAAGAGGTCTTCCATTATATTCTACCAAATTAGAAATCAACAGACCATCTTTTCTTTGCTCCACATTAAAAATCACCATTCGCTTTGTCACATGATTTTAAAGAAAGATATAAATCTTTCTTAACTCGTCGAGTACCGTATTTATAGACACAATTAAAGAACAATAGGTTGCGGTCACCGGTGACCGCTTGGTGTTTGACAGTTTAAACACGTATAGTAGGAATAAAAGCTGTAAAATATTCATCTAAAACTAGAGCAAAGATGTGACGGTAGAGTGCGTTGAAAACGTGTAAACGTTGACAAAATCACACGAGCACCAGTAAGTAATGACATAAAACCACGCCTCAGTGAGCATCGTGTGAATGGGCTATAGAGATAAAATCTCCTACATTTTAATTCAAAGCGAAGTCAAGTACACGTGCACATGTCTGTGCGTCGCGTCGTTTATTGGATGCATGCAGTATTGTGGAGCATGCAGTATTATTGACGTAGTTAGGGCATTGTCTATGTTGCACAATTGGACATAGCAGTGCCCATTAGTTATCTGACAACGGGCTTTTCGTAGCACAAAAGGATTGCTTCCACCTTTGATAATGCTGGTCATAAAGGTACTCTGTAATACAACACCAGAAGTTAAACTATCTCAAAATGTTCTCAGATATTTTACGTCATAAGTTTCCATTCTATACGCCGCCAAGGACACACGTCTCCGGCCTGCAACCGTCCAACTGCTATTAAATTATATTTGGCATTTAAACGGAATGCAGCCTACGATTTTCCGTACAAAGGACAAAAGTCTAGTTTAAGAGTACCTACGTGACTCTATAGTGGCTTGTTTACTGCACAGTGAACAAGACGAATAAAAAGTAAAATATTACATAATATCACGCATGTCTGAAGCAGTAGGGTAGGGGTAAGTAGAAATGCTGTGAAACAATACGTCAAACGTTTATTAGTTAGATATGTAATTGATTCTTTCAGAGTTCTTGGAAATCAAAAATCATTGGATTGAAGGGGATTATTAATTCCGGCCTTTAACCCGTCGTGTGTCTAAACGTGGATCCACGCGAGACACAATGTATTTTCTATTGTGTCTTATATACGAGCATTCAAGAGGTTAATCAATACGTCAGAAATATTTTGAAGGTTCAATAATAGCGTTCTTTCCACCAGACTTAATTAAAGCTTTAACCCTTTTTAGAACCTTATCATATGACCAGGATGGAAAGCAAGGCCAATGGTAGGCTGTAATAACTTTCCTGTATACATACTTTCATTAACAAATAATTTATTTACACACGCATTTCATATTATAATGACTCATTTTGATATAACATGTACTCTAGATAAAACATTAAAAAAGATAGACATTTTCAATTGCTAAAGGTCAGAAAATATTTGAACAATACGTAAATAAATACTGCTTTAGATGTGAAAATAGAATTTCGTAGATGCCATTAAATAAAGTGTAGACTACGATCATATTGCAAAGTTAATAAAACTTCTCGAATAATAACTTAAACGCGACCTTTACACCTACGACTATTATCGCCTCACTTTATTTGATACTTAGTTTTATCGTTAAAACTTCCAAAGTATTGGTTAAACTAAGCACTATTTTATCATTAATACTTTTTATGTGAACATAATCCGCTCATAGATTTTGTGGTTATAAAAGAGCAGCAAAGAACAATAGCAGTAATTTAGAGGCTATTAAAAAGGGCTCAAAAAATGGGGCTTTATTAAAACAAGCAATCTTCGTTAATTGTTTGTTTTAGAGACATTTAAACAATAGTATGTCGCGTGCGGGTTATCTGTTCACGTTTCGCCCTCGAGCATAAAAACAATAGAATCTGGGTACCGGGCACCCCAGCCAAGCCGTCTGATGTGTGCCAGTCAAAATGTTCCACTCACTTCGCGTGTTTAATAACAATAAAATGCTACACGTGATACCTTGTAGCTGGTTGATATTCACGTCACTACCATAGGGTTGCCAACGTGCGTAATTAAATATTCAAATTTTCTTCAATATAATCATTTCCGTCCTACTTAACGCTATGTACAATTTATTCGAAAGAAAATTTATAAATGTCATGTTTATAGAAAGTAAAATGTATTTAAAACGATTCATTACTCAATACATTCATTGTTACAAACATATATGTCACATTTGAATGATAACAATGAGTGGGTCTTACCATAATAAGTAATTGTGAGGCTCACACCATAAATATACAGAAAATAATGTAATTCCTTACCGCAACTTAAAAATGGTTACGGTAAGAAGTATTTATGTAATTGTAAGCAATGTGATACCCACAGTTGAGTCATCCAGGCCACATAGCAATCAATACGAAGCGTCTTACGCGAAGAACAATACAGTTATACAATAATACATATTCATCCTGAATCCTAATGAAGATACAACGCGTGAATAACGAAATATCCGGAGATCGATAACCGAAATAATGATACGGGCTTTAAGAGGAGATCGGGTCTCCTAAAGTGGTTGGGATCTCCGCCCTTAAAGAGATAAGGACCCAAAATAATGACAGTAATGTGAACCAGTGATGGTCTAGTGAATTCAAATAAATAATGCGAGGTTTTTTCTAACCACAATCCGCTGCCACAAGGGGCCTTTACGTCGCGAAACCCTAATGAGGTTTTAATCCTATTAGCGTTGGCGGGAAGGTGTTAAAAAGACAAAGTGGCTCATTTGCGGGACGAGTAATCTAGTTTGTTGAGCAACGATTGTTTAGGAAAACATATTTTTCCGCTAACAGTCTGTAGTTTAATGGTGGCAAGCGCCATTGCCATAGTGAAGTATCCAACACCATACTATTATTTAAACTGTTTGCTTCTTGATGAGGTTATACAGAACCATAGACTTCATACCTTTCCCTTTTTATTATCATAAAGGTCGGGCAAATGTAGTAGTCGTTAAGCAAATCGATATAGTTACGAGTAAGCGTAGGCTGTTTGTATTGTAACCAAATTCCAAGTCGCTTTCCCGGCCTACCTGCGGTTCCCCTAACTATGCAGGGAAAGTGAGTGACAAATGAATTGTATAAACTAACCAAATATTTGTCCAAAATGTATCTATTTGATGTCATTCCATCGATCCGAGTGAGACTAGACATCCAATTAACAATTCGTAAAACATAAGCCGAATTATGTTGTGCCCTGGGGAATATCTAACCTTATAATGTGGATTTTCATTGAAGATTTGCAAAATATAAGCATAAAATTTTAAAATAGTAAGACAAAATGTGACCACATTTTGAAGCAAATTATTAAAAGGTTTTTAAACTCATGATCCACATCTGTCAATGTCACATGATTCACAAGTCCGAAATAAATTACAAAATACTCAGCTAGAAAAGTAATGACAGTTTACAATTATTTTGAAAAGGGTTTCCCCGACTAATTAACGAAACAAATAGCAACAACATAGCCCTACATCCCACTTTAACAGTGTGTCATGAACAGACACAGTCGCACATAATAACCGACACGTATTTATGAGAAAAATGGCCTGCGACACGTCGTTACGTCACTACGTTTAAACTGCCAATTACTGTAGACCTGTTACGGTTCTCTGCGGTGATGGAATTTGTAGGTGGTGGTGCATGATGAGAGTTCAGTTTATGCTGGCTGATGGGTAATGACAGTCATTACGCGGCCTTCGTATGGCTCGCGCGTCTTCAGTACTGTGGAGTGGCCATGTATGGGGATTTAGATGGATTTTTCTTTTTTCAGCGTTCCATTGCCATATTTCGAAAGGAAGTCTTTTGAAATATATTGAGCGTTTCTGAGAGTATACAATAGATGCTAATACGATAGCAGCAGAAAAGTAGATTAAGCAAATGTAACATGAACATAGCTTATTTTTTCATTGAGGGGGGAAAATCATCCATCCATCCCGCCCGGGTGAGGCGGGAGGGAGTGTCAGACTCTTACTGACTAAAAACCACTCCGTTTCTACTTCTGCACTTCGAGCCGGAGCCCCGGCAAACCGTTAAGTCCTTCGCAACTCCGTATCGGCATCACCTCTATGGGGCGCCATCTGTGGTGGTCTGATGGCTCCTTGAGGAACGCGACGCGCCGTACGCTCGGGAATATGAATAAAGCTAAACCATATCGTC